AGCGACCATCACGTCCAGGATTACGGTATTGTATTGGGTGCAGGAGCACGGCGCGATTGCCACGCCATAATTTCACGATGCCTTATTCATCTCTCTTCTTCCCTCCAACTTCCCCATACTCTACAAGCAGTCTGCTATCCACCCACTTCCCATACTTCCACATACTCCTGGTCGCTGATGGACGCTGGTAGACGCTAGATCGATATCCATACTTTCCTGGTCCCTCGAGACGCTAATCGTCGCTGGCGGACGCTAGTGGACGCTGGTAAGTGCTGTAGATGTTGCCGTTTGCTAGATCGATATCTATGCTTTGCTAGTCGCTCACGATGAAGAACGCTCGGAATGCCTTATGTTCGCTGGTAGACGCTAGTGGTCGCTGGTGTATGTTGCCGCAATGTATAAATGCAGCCTTACACCTTTACTAAAAAATCTACGAACAACTCGAACTTAATCCCTTCAAGTGCGTCGACCCTCTGATTTTCCCTGCAATCTCTCGTCCGTCTGGCAGTCTATGGTCATTTTGACCTCACACATTTCAGCTTTCCACGGAGTTAAGTGTTCCACCGATCCCGGAGTTCATTCCCTTCGAAAAAACCCATTCGCTCGCCGCATGTTTCTTGCTTATTTCAGTGCTTTGTCAGACACTGTCACCTATTTGTCTGCGTTACATGATTTCGCAACAAGACCTTGCTCAAAAGTACGAGATTTCACGTAACCCCAAAAACATCGCTGTTGTGTTGTACAGTTTTGACCTCTGCACCTATGACACTTTCCCTCTCATCGTATGTCAGATCCCATCATGGTTTCCATTCTTAACGAAAGGATAGAAGTGCGCATGTGGACGCCATATCCCAGAGGTGGAGAGTCCGTGGCTGCGTACTTCATTTGAATTTTGGCGGCTTACTAGAGAGATATGGTCGCTCTAGAACATTTGCTGCCAGGACTTTGCCCACCACTACGAAGAACCTCACTTGTTTCGAATGAAAACATCCTAGGAGCAACGCATCCTATTCCATGTCCAGCTAAGGTACGCAGCCACGCCCACTCCATCGCCGGGATGTGCAGTGTATAACTGCGAAAAGGAATCAGACCGAACGGTGCTCATTGTCAACATGTACACGTGAGCTTCTGCAGGCCTTCTTGTTAAGACCTGTTAATTCCTATGACCAAAGTGGCTAATACAGTAGCCTGCCAGGAGTTAACAAGTCTAGCCGAAGTTAGACCTGTTAAACACCCTGAACCAAAAGAACGGAACTAATGAAGATCAATGCCCCTTCCAGCAGTGCTCACACGGGTAAGAGAAAACTTCGATAATGGTAACACACTTCTTAATCACATTTTCCTGATCGTGCTTTTGACGTGTGATTTCTTCGATTGTTTCGTGCGCAATCTAAAATGCAAATGATCCTCATAGGTAACAGTCTCTCAAGATTTTAAGTGTAGTTTACACCCACCTTAAGCTCTCCTTCCACTTTTCGTTTCTGTTTCTCCACATCTTGACGATTGCGTTTCTCACGTTCTAACGTGTCTTCGATTTCGTCCAATGTTGCTTCGAGTTTCGCTTTGAGTTTGTTCACGTGGTTCATCTTATCTTCTTGTGCTTGCATATCTTCCAGAAGTTTACGATTTACCT